GAGATATAATTAATCTTTTTCAAAGGAGTTTTAAAAAATGTTGCATAGGTATAAGTGAGATCTCAAGAGAAATAATAAACAAATAAAAACGAAAATTTACGAATTAAAATAATTATGGAAAGAGGGCGCTACAAATCATTCATTTATGAATGGAATACAAAATAATGATTGAAGTATGAGAAAAAGATGTTCTTTACTGCAAATATGTTTTCCTTTTTTATAACTAAAATTTCGAGAAAAATCTTTGAAGACAGATTTTGTTTCAATTCAACGATATTAATATTATCCGAATCTAATTTTTATCTATTTACTTAGGTTTAAGCAAAAGCTCTGGCATGAAGCTGACAATTTTATAAATCAGTTAATATATTTAAGAGTCTCTTGCATGAATCGATAGTGTCTATAATGATATATGAGCCAGCCCATGTAAGCCACAACCGAACCTGTTTTATCGAGGTCGCCAGATCTGCCTCATTTTTTGATATGTGATAGAGGAAAAAGTTCTAAGAATATTGGCGAAAGATTTTTGAAAATCTATAGAGTTGTTCATTTTTTATGCTTGTTTTACCGATACCCCTAAAAAATGCCACTTTTTTAAGTGGGTGTCTAAAGGTCAACATATCTCAACAATGGCTCTATAGAGTATGCTCAAATTTTGTGTGCATATATAACTAAGTGAGTTCTATCTGTGATAAAATTTTGGTCCCGAAATATGGGACAATTCAATAATTATGAGCCATCAGAAATGCGTAAATAGGAATTTTTTTGGCGAAGTGTTTCCCTTCATAAACTTTCATGGGGACGAGATACGGACCTGAAATTTTTACCATAAATAGACAATTAAAAGATCTATTTGTGATGAAAATTTCAGCCAATTTCATAGAGGCATTCGGCCGGAACAGGTCCTCCAAAAATGGGATTTTGACAAAAATGTCTATTTTTAGAATTGATTATCTCCCAAGAAATACATCGCCCTGCGGGCTGGGCCTTATGGTTTGAAAGTACTCTCGACGGGCTACAACTTCATAAAGAAACGAACGTGGGATCTCCAGAATTCGCTGGTTGCGAGGGTCATCTTTTCAGCAAAATGTGAAATTCGTGTAGCTCACGAAAAAACCCTAAAGTGTATAGCGTTCAATCCCTTTTCTCTTTATAGACCCTAGGTAACTGTTCATGCTGAACACGATGGTGATATTCTCTCAATCTCATTGTAAACTTTCTCTCGTGGATCTAGGCAAAGTCAGGTATAATCACAGGATTTTTCGAATGTCTATCCTTTACCCTAAATCTGGTACCCAGAATGCATCCCTAAATCGAATCCACATTTGTGGATAACAAAACGAAAATTAATCCAGATTAGGGATTTNTTTGTTTTTGCAAAAAATGTAACGTGTTTTTGCTTTGTCATCATGAATAAAATGATCATAACTTTTCATAGCTACGACACAATTTCAATTATCTTTTTTTCAGATGATAGCCCTTCTCATTCTCTACAAAACTGTATATTTCAATCAACTATCTACATATGTATTCATGTAGATAACATCAATTTACAGAGAGGGATCGAAACTTTCTGACCACCCTTTAGAAGTTGAACTGTTAGACGCGAGGAATATGGAAAAATGTAATATTAATTACAAATTTTTGAAGTGATAAATTTGGAACAATTAGTGAAAAGTGTAATCAGTTTGGCGATCGGTGCAGAAAATTAAAAATTGAATCGGATGTCGTATATGTTTGTAAACAGAAACGTATTAAGTATAAGGAAGCGTTTTCTATGCTATGACCGACATGAAAAAATGTGAACAAAACTAAGCTTGCGGATGCTAATGCGTTAGAGGGAGAAGGAAGGTAATTGGGCAACTCAATTTTTTTTTAGGTATCCGTCTCAGAATAAAGCTAATCGAGTTCAAAATGCTCGAGGAAGTGTTAAATAGAGCTGAACATTTACGATCAAATAAGAATAGACAAGACTGATTGTACCCAATAGTATCTGTTTCTTATTTCAAGAATCTGATAGGATTTTTTAAGATCGGATATGAAAATCATACAGTTTGATCGTGTTAGTTTCTTAATCTTTGATTCTTACAAGATTTTTGGCTGACATCTTACAGTCAGAATCTGATGAAATCTTCAGAAATGTAAAACATATTTGATATGATAGTAAGATCATATGAAAAGCTTGTATGGATAAGATCTTATACAATCTTGCAGGATCTTATGTCTGCTTTTTGGACCTGGGGAGGGTCCTAATATGACCATATCTCCTGAACGGCTAGTTTAATTGATCTGAAATTTTCCACATATATACATCTTAGTGGTTTATAGACACAGTAAAATTTTTATCCCTAGAGATTGAGTCGTTCAGATTTGATGAATATTCAAATATAGGGAAAAATCAACATTTTCTGCAACTTTGGAGATTGATAACTTTTGACTAGAAAGAGATAGAGATCTGAAAAGTTTATTGTAGATAGGGCACATAATGATCTATCTACCATGAAAATCTCAGCCCTGTTGATTGTTTCGTTTAGTCCAGAAGTTCCTCTGAAAAATAGATTTTTGATCAAATGAGTCATTTTTCATAGAAAATGTACCAAGCGCACTTACAAATTGCTCTGAGTGGTTCATCATATAAGATAAATTCTATCTAGTCAGAATCAGCAAATGATACTCTATCCCCTTGCATAAAAAAATCCATTCAAAACAAAAAAAAAGTTTTTTTTTGAAAAATTGCCATAGAAGACTGGCTTACAAGAAAAATTTGGGTGGAGATGACTCTAACATTAAAACTAAACATACATCTGTAGAATACTCGAACAATTATGATAAATATTAGCATTATCCTAATGCTAATTTAAGACTAATGCTAAAGCATTGAATTAATTTTTTAATTCTAATACAAAGTATTAAAATTATTTTTTTAATTCTAATACAAAGTATTAGCATTTTCCTAATACTAATACTAAGCCGACACCCCTACATAAAACAAATGAGCATCAGCATGAGCGTTCGTCAAAAACTCTTCACTATCTAGCTGTATACGTTTCACAGTTAACTTTGTTGGTTACAGCAAGGACTCATTGCCTGCTTGCTAGTCTATCCCGTAAAAAGGTCTATCTGTTCACTTCAGTGAGCCAATACATTGACGATCTTTTAACAACATTGAACATTTATTAAGAAAATCTTTATGTATGAAGAAAGTGACGTGAAAAACAAGTATATATAGTAAATTGAAGAATACCTAGAACTATATTGGAAAGAGTTTAAAAAACAGAATTTTTATTGGCTTATTTTCAAACATTCTGTGGGTCATAATATCTATGATTGCCATATAATATCCCACGCATGTCATAACCAGGCTAAAGACCCTTAGGACATAAACATATGAAGAAAACTTCCTTTGCGATATATCATTCGATGCGTCGCATCTTGCTCCACAAAATCATATATATGCTATTCTGGTGCGAGATTGCTCATGAAATTCGGTGAAATTCCTTGAAAAAAAAAATGAAATTAAGGGAAGAAATAAACATAACTTGGTTTTGTATTAATATAAGTTATTTGTCTATTTTTCTCTCATCGTTCTTTTGTTTGCATTCATAGAAAGAAATCGTAGCGAATAGAAAAACAAGTGTTGTTACAAAAAAGTTCTGATTCATATGGGAGCACAAAAATCATCAGGGCTAAAGAATTTGCCCTGTCCTGCCCTGTGCCGTGCTCTGGTTGCCCTGCAGGACAAACAGGTCAGGGCAAAAAACAAATATTTGCCCTGCAGGACTGGGCGGGCAAGGCAGGATAGGACAGGACGTCAGGGCGGCCCTACCCTGATGACGATCTCTGGTTCACATTAGAGAGGTTATAATAGCAAAAGAGACCATAAAAACGTGTTTCCTATCCAGAATAAGGAGGTGTTCATATTAAAGAGAGTGATTTAAGGCAAAAATCGTTCCATCAGACTCAAGACCATTCATAATTAAGAGGTGTTTATTTTAGAGATGTATTCACTAGTAGAGGTTTTATGCAATTTAGATGAAAGACAACAGTTATTTAATCGAATGATGTAAACAGAAGTGCGGATATGGGTATGAGTAAAGGTGTGTAAGAGAAGAGACGACCCATACGCTTACTAACACCCATAAATTGATCTAAACAGTGTGATCAAGAAAATATATTGATAACAAATTCAATAGGAAAGTCTTTGCCTTACTCAGCGCAGTGTCGTCCAAGCTTTTACATGGTTTTCAAAACAATGTGTCTCGTTTTAAGAAAGCATCTTCATCCAACGAAAAATCTATAGCATTTGAACAAATAATTTTGCTATGTAAGTAACACTTTCAAATTCAAGCAGATGATGATTGAAATTGTTATCAGCTAGTGAAATCCACACAACTTTCGGTCACACAAAGTATAGTAGAACTTCTTTTAAACTGAATAACATAATAGTGTGGGTTTTTAAAGAAACCATCCAAAAATAGTTGCTCAGTAATTGAAAGCTTGTTCTCAATGAATTCACTTAATTAATATATTATATAATCTGTTAGCATTTAATCAGTTTTATTACTGAATTCTAAAATAATTCGATTGCTTGTGTCAGTTTTACACAGATAATCACGCTATATTTATTATGATGTCATCTCATAAAATTATTTTCAAGGCAATATCAAATTGATTTTTGATATTGACATGATCGCAGTTGAAACAGAAACCAACATAGTTTTTACATAGTTAGTTTTTTTCTCTGTTATTTATCTTATTAATTGCACTTAGTGTTTCTGTAGAGATTCTTTGCAAGAGAACCATGCTTCGTACTTTTATTACAGCAACAAGTGTTTATTGTGGTTATAAATGAGAAAATTAAGATGAGTATAAAATATGGTTAAAATAAGAAATGATTACAATAATTGTTCAATAAAAGTTAATAATGTTCTGAATTAACAAGATGCATGAAAAAAAGTGGAACGAACTACTATTTGGTCTTATGCCATTCTTTATTAATGCTATGCATTAAAATCAGTTTGAAGTTTATCTTTGAGAAACATTAAGTGAGATAAATTGACGGGTGTTAAATGAGACCATTGTTTTCGCAATAGGTATGAAGCCGTGCTGAATGCACTCTCCGATGAAACAGAAATAGCTGGAGTAGAAAGATAAGAAGCAGCAATTTTAGACAAATGCTGCAATTCAAGTTGATGTGATTGCCAAAATTGCATCTATAAGATCCAAGAAGAAGTTATTGGAAAAATAAAAAACTATTTTTAATTGTGTGGCACTTACTACATCAGAATCTTTATCACCATCGACTATTGAATTATATTCTCTTTGAGCCAATGTTCTATATGTAGCAATTTCTTCACTTAATGTGTTCTTGTTAGTTGTTGTGAAATTAATTGATGAAGATGCAACTTTTTTACCGACAGAATTAAGAAATTTAGTCATAGATGATTGTCTTGATGGTTCAAATTTACGTTTCATATTTAATTTCGATTCTATTCGATTAACTTCTTGCTCATCAATCATGTCTTCCGTAGTATGTTGCTCGTGTGATTCAATAACATTAGATTCCACTGCTCGTCTTTCTCGTCTTGTTAAACACCCGTAGCCAACAGGATCAAAATAGGCATGATTCTTAATATACAAATGATTATCCACTGAATATATAGATATACAAGCTTCTTACTTTCATTGTTTGCCACTGTTCGTCTTTGTCACAGAAGTATTTTTCAAGTTGATTTAACAATAATACTTTGAAATTAAATAAAATTTTCCAATCATCAACATCGACAGTGTTTGAATCTTCAAGAAAATCTCGGATTTGAACTATTGCAAAATAACTGATACCAATGGTGGGATATAGTGTACCATTTAGAAGCTTTGTTGCTTGTACAAATGGCTTTAAGACAAAGTCCAATAATTCAAGCATTTTCCAATCAAATTGATCTAATTCGATTAAGGAAAGTTTGTTCATTTGCTTTTTATTAAGACCAATATCACGTTTTTCATTATGTATCTTGTTGATAATTTTTTTGTACATTAACATAACTTCAATTAATTGATGAGATGAATTCCATCTACTTTTACAATCCAATTGAAGAGAACGACGAATATTGAACTGTTGTTTAAGTTTAACAACATAATTCATTAGAATAGATGATTTATTTATTAACTTTACCATGGATCTACATTTTTTCATTAAATCACCTATATTTTGTTGTACTGTTTCATTCGAGGGTGTATCAAGATCTTCAATAACATCGATCGACCAGTTATCAATAATGTCGTTCGAAAAATGATCCGGTTCTTCATCCATTAAATTTTCATTTGTAATAACATTATTATCAGGATAGGTGTTTAGCACTTCATACGACACATCTAATGCATCGCCCACTGATTCAAGTGAGCTTGATGAATTAGTAATTGATGATGGTTGTGGCATAAATTGGACATCATCAGTAAAATCTTCTTCATCGGAATCATCTTCGCTTATATCAATTTTTGGTATTGCATCAGTATTTGATGAATATAGTGTTTTTTGTTTACGAGTCCAAAGTCCAAGTCCATTGCATACCACCAGGTGGAGACGATGAGCTACACCTAAAAGTAAACATTATGAGAAACAAGAAATTAACGTATAATCACTAACAGAATATTTGTTTTGTATCAACATAAAGTGTATCACCTATTTTTGACATATTAGCCGCACAATCAGTTGTGATCGAACGTGTTTTTTCAAACACATTCAATTCCTTGAGTTCTTTCTTAATAACCATGGAAATGTTCGTAGAAGAATGGCGATGATGAAACCACGAGAACGAAAGTATTTTGGAAACAAATTGGTATTTGGGTGTTATGTAATGTCCAGTTAAGCATAAATAAGAATAAAGTCTTTTATCCGACCAAAAATCACATGTTACACCTAAAGACTGAATTTTCGATAATTCTTTAGTAAGTGTTAATTTTTGTTCAGATTGCAATCGTTTTAATCGTCGTTGAACAGTATTACGATGAGGAGGTGAGTAGCCTAAAGAAACAAAATTAGAAATAAACGAATAAACTATGCTTGGTTTTTCTTACCAGGTGTTAAATGATTAAATACTTTCAATATACCTGATTGTCTCATATCACCGAAACTACGTCCATCTTCTACGATGGCATTGATTATCAATGAATCAAGTTTCTTTTTTTCATCGACACCGATTTGATGCGGTTTGATGTCTACAGTTTTTGAATTAACACTGAAACATTCAAGTTTATGCATTTGACATAAATGTTTACGCAGTCCACTGGTTGTGCCATTTTTTCGACTTAAAACAGCAGAGCATATATTACACTTTGCCTTTTCCTTTTGCTTTGTCATGTAATCCCATAAATATGAACTGCCACTAATGTCTGGTTGTATTTTATTTGAATCATCAACACTCATATTGTTTATATTATTATGATGACTTAAACTTGTATCAATATATTTCAATAACTTCAATCCTTAATTATCTAAAATATTTCTTTTTTCAATGAGAACTGTTATAATTTTTTTGATTATAAATACTATTCAGAAACTCGATGACATAAAAATTATGTCACACCTTTGCTGAACATCATTTGGAAACGTTACGACGAATTTAAAACTTTGCTTTATGGCCACAGAAATAATTCATTGTTAAATTTGAAAAGAATAATCGAGTGTGAACGTTGCAACGGAAAAATGAGAAGGATTGTTTTTGAATGATCTTTAGAAGACATTGGAACTTATAGAGTACTTAAAGTTTAACAAAATTAATAGTACTTAAAGTTTAACAAAATTAATAGTACTTTTTAGAAAAAGATTTCATTTTCTACAGATGGCATTACCATGTAAGACTGTTCATATACGAAAATAGAACAGTTAGTCAAGTTCATCATATCAAAATAGAATGATGAAGAAAATAATTTATATAAGTCATACATATACATATATATATATGCATGTATGCAAATTCGCGCATGAACTCGACGATTATATAAATTAACTGTACGAAAACTTACTACCTGACTTTAAACTAGCCAGTGCGAGTTCCTTTCAATATTTTGCAACTAGTATTATTTATTAAAAGTATTGAACTTTAATATATTCCAGAAAATTATTAACAACAATATCCATACAGCATTGTTCAGTATAGCTATCCCAAAGAAAATGGCTTAATGACTCAAAGTATATTTAGTCTAAAATATGGGATTCAGGAATCTATGTACTAAGTAGTTGGTTTTGAATTACAAAAAGAGAGTCTATAGATGAAATCAAGTCAAAAACAGGAGAAAATTGACATGAAACAAAACTAATGTCGGATTTTTTTAAAAGTATTAACGACCATTTTCTGAATAACTTTTGATTACTTTGAGTTATCGAGCTGCGGTTTTCACCATTCAAAAGAGCAAGCCGGGGGCTACAAAATCCTACTGATTTTGAATGGTCAAGCAATTGACCAACCAGGAGAACTTTTGCTGGACAGTTTGTGAGCTGCCTCGTGCTACTAATTTTCGTTCAATNCAAAAATCTATTTCAGCCCAGGAACATCCGAATTAGATGAAACTTTCAGGATATGTTGGGGTTGGAAACAGGAGACTACCATAAAATTTTCAGCCCGAAATCTTCAGGTTTCAGGGAGATATGAACCAAAAAGGGTCAAAAATGACTCATTTGGCATCCCAAATTTTTCGGTCCTGATTCGGTCAACATATTAATATTTTTTTTTTGTTGGAAAGATCATCTCAAGATGCAGGGCATGACGCGGCAGCATTTTTTAAACAGTCCTTTTTCAAGCGCACAAAATGGATCACAAGTTCAATGACTCAAAAAAGTATCAAAAAATGGTAGCAAAATCATATAAATGGCTGTATATTAACCAAACAAAGGCTTAATTCAAAAAAGGGCACGGTCATGCCCTGCGCCTTGAGATGCTCTTTCAAACAAAAAACAAATATTAATACATTGAATGAACCAGGAAGGAAAAATTTGGGATGTGCTTTTGAGAAAGCGGAAACTGAGAAAAAACGAAAAACATTTTTCGATTTTTCAAAAAACAGCGGGTTTCTCGAATAGGGGTTGACGGAAATCTTGAAAATTTTTTGGGAAAAATGAAGTAACGAGCAAACAAATTATCGTTTATGAAAGAGCAGATGACGGGCTATCTCCCCATGTATTTATCTCAATTTCTGAATTTTTGACGAAAATTGACTTCTTAAATTCAGCTGTGTTGGTCTAAGAGAGGAGTGGCGATATTAAAGTATTTGTCNCAATTTCTGAATTTTTGACGAAAATTGACTTTTTTTTTGGGGGGGGGGGCTTAAAGTGGATGTAAAAGAAATTTTGTTGTTGCTTGCAGTGCAGAAAATTGCATATTTTTCTTTAATTTTCTATCTTGTACAGTATATACTAAATTAACAGTCATCTTCTAGTCCATTTATTTCATTTTATTTTTAAATAACTCATTTGTCTTAACTAATAGCTAACTGAAAAACTTTATGTGAAAATATTATTTAATTACGTTGAATGATGATAAGTTTTATCTTTCATGCTTCAGAAATAGCTCTTGTGGAATCAATTGATGAAACTAAGCAGAATGTATATGAAATTCTCTTCTATTTTTTGTTGTCCAATGGATCATTTGTCAGTTTGTGTGAACAACAGATGAAACTATAGAACTGATTTTACATATTATATTCTGTTCGGTATTCACTTTGTTCTGTCACTACACGGAGAGAAGGTTGATTAGGCTGTTCGTTATTATCTATCTGCCTGAAAAATGAGGTTAATTGTATACATCAGTTTAATGAAACACGATGTAAAAAGGATTGTTGAAGTTTAGAGATAGAACTTTTTGACTCTCCCTTCATTATGGACTTTGACAGATGTCTCAGCAAAGACTCTTCTCTTCCTACCAGACCGTGACAAATACTTTAATATGGCCACTCCTCTCTTAGACCAACACAGCTGAATTTAAGAGATCTGTTCATTAGTCTTCTTTCACACTGAATGTTATCTATAACGAGTATCATCTTTCATTATCAACATGTATTAACAGTAGAAATAATTCACAAACTGAAATCTATGTTAGTGAATTTCTATTCTTATAACGTTAACAGCTCCGTCGTATTTCATATTTTTATAATTATTGTAATTGCACAAACAACTTTTCACTCAAGAAATCTAAAAAGAACTTGTCTAACTTCATTAGTTTTACTGATATTGATTGATGTCTATTAGAAGCTTTTATGTTAAATAAACTCTCATGACAGTTGAAGTTTTATATTTGATAAGTATCATTGTTTACTGCGTATTTAAGATAATTAGATTTATTTATGTCGTTATACAAATCAAAACAGTCTAATGAAGATTGGGGCTGGTAACATAGTTTTTTTTCTTCAATTTAATTCTTGTTGTTCTTTCTAGGTTACGTGATACTGAGTCAACCTCATCTGATGATATATCTGTCAATGGAGTAAATTTTATTTCATTTCGAATATTCGAAAAAAATGTCTTAATTTTAAATAGATCGGTGTAGTTGCTATACATTTACATCAATTAATAATTAATAAACCATTTCATTTAATAAAAGATAATAATAATCGACAAGAAAAAAACATTGATACTTTTCGTATATGTATTTGTGCTTATGCTTTAAGTCGATATTCAAAAACTGTACGCATATATCCAACAGAAAAACAAAAGAATATTGCACGATTTGATCAAACAATGCATATGATAATTCGTGTAAAATAAACAAAAAAATTCTTTTCATTATCAAAAAAAAAATATTATAAATATTTCAGATTTATGATAAACGTCATGATAAACGACATCTTATTCATGTTATTCTCTATGGTTATTTAGATGAAGAAAAACGATATGCTTTAATTGCTGATCAAGTTATTGATAGTATTAAACTAATATCAGTATGATATGTCGTCTATATATATAGTAGGGTGCAAAAAAAATGGCTATCGGTCTTTAGGAAAAAACTTCTTCCAGAAGCGATGAATTTCATACTGTTCCTTATTTATAGAATATACGTACAATAAACTACAACAAAATAACAATCATAGATTGATTGGTTTTTCTTAAAATAATAAGTCCTACACACTCTCTTTTTGTCAATGTCATCAAATAATTTATAGTTGACGTTTCTAATCTCCGTTATTATTTGTAGTAGAATCTGTGTCATTTATTGAGGTTTTGCCAACTTCAGTTTTGCCATGCGTGATTTAGCTTCTGCACTGTTCGATCGTTTCAGATACCTATGACTCTAAAATCTGCCATGAATAGACTATTTGTCTACTAGCTAATTTGTTTTGTTGAAACGGATTCATTCGTCAAAATTGACTTTTTTCTTCATAGATGAGATGAATTTCAAGAATCTGAACATTGCTACTACGAGCTTTCAAGTTCATTATTGTCTGCTCTCTTTTCAAAATTCTCCTAAAACCTCGCTGAGAGTATTTGGATAGCTGTTATCAAAATTCATCCGAAAGCGCAGTTGGACTCTATTTACCCTTTCTAAACTGCGTTACTCACTTTATTTGCCTCATTGTGCCCTCTGAAGTTAGCGCCATCGCAGTTTCTCGTAACTCTCGATTGCCATGATCCATTATTCCTTCAAAATCATTTCCTAAATTCAATGTGACACATTACTACATTTATCATTTATAATGACTTGCTCATCAAGCATTCCCATATTGTCAAAGATTGTATACTCAAGCAGCCTTTGTGAAAAAGTTAAGTTTGGTTCTCAACAATATTTGTGTCTTCATTAGTGTAAAATAAATTCTAAGCTTATAAAAAACCTTGGTAAAGTGTAGGAGAAAGATATCTTGAAACCTTGAATGTCGAGCAGCAATTTTTTTTTTCATCCTGCTGTATATACATTTTTATTATTGATTTTTCATCATATGTGATTATTTTAGGCTCGACATATTAGCGAAGCTGTTGAATTTGAAAGTTCTATTGATATTTTTGTAAGTGTTCAAACTTCTGAGAATTTTCTACTATTGAAAAAAAAAAAACTATAGGGAAAAGCTACATTATTAATTGAACTAATTTTTGTATATGGTAGACATGGTTATAATTTTAGTTCACAAGTAAAAGATTTGAAAAAAAAATCTTTCATTCATAATTACTAATAGAATAGCTTATGTTTCAAAATGATGTTCATCTTCCGAATACTGTTAAAGATCAAACATTATTTGAACGTATTCTTCCGACTAATACAGGTATGTACAAAATCAAAAACATATTGTTTTCGTCTGTTGTTAAAAGTTTCGATTTCTTCTTTAAATAGATAATACAACTAATGAGTATGAATGATTATGATTCATTTTGAAATACTAATCTTAATATGTACTTTTTTATATAGAAAATTATTTGATCCACCAGAAATTAATTTACCAATA